AAGAGTGGGGAGCTGTCATTGAATTAGAAACGTGAGAATTCTAGGTGCATTCTTGGAAATTGCCCTCAGCCTTTTGTCCAAGCAGCAGAAGCAGCAGTTCAGGATAGCTGGTAGTATATGGTCCAGAAGGAGAAGGGCTGAGCCTTTCACTTATTTTTCAGAATTCCTTGGTGATATTATAAAAATAATTTTACTGCTAAATTAGTCTTCTACTTGCAAAGTCTGGTTGTTTCATCTAATCAAAATGCAGTCTTATTTTTTTGTCTTTTTGCCAGCCTAGAATTGATGTTAAAGGGAAAATGCAAAAATCTCTGGAAACAGCATCTAAGAGTTACCCGCTGCTAACCAGTAAAGTGATGTCTCAGTTTGGGTGTCTGTCTGGCATGTAGCTGAAGCTGTATCTGCTTCTTTCCCAAGTCTGAGGAAAGGCATTTTGTGTTGGAGAACTTGTCCAGCACCTCTCCCAAACAAATAGTTGGTCTAGCAGAATACTAAACAGTCTTAACTCCTGCAAAGTTCAGAAGGTCAGAACAGCTCTGAGTGTGTTGGGGTTTTTTAATTTTTTTTTGTCACCCTCAGTCTTACAATGTAGATGGACCTACATGCTTGAACCAGTGACCACTTCGTCTATAAAATATTGTCTGGTTCCACTTACTCATAAGTGTGTGTGTTACTGTTGATGCCTCTATCTCTATTCCAAGCACCACACTTGTCCATTGCTAATATCATTATGCCAAAGGGTCTGGGCAGGAGTGGTGTTCCAAACAACTGCTTAGGTAGCAAGAGGAGTTTGCTATAGTTGGAACTGTGAGGGTGGATGGAGTGTTAAAATGAAAGAGGATGCCCAGAATGAAGGAGTAAAAGTTTGTTTTGCTGTTGCTTTAGCTCAGTGGGGGGCAATTTTGGCAGGTGAGCCACAAGGTAAGCCCCACATCCTCTTCAGGTACCATTTTGATCCTCTTCCCTTGCCTGATCCATTGCTCTGCTTTCTGCTTCCTGTCGTACACACACAGGCTGTCCTTGCCACTTGTGGCACATGTGTCGTAAGTTGACCACCCTGTTTTAGCTGACACTGTCATTTGTATAAGCCTGGAAAAATAACATGGGAGTTTGTGTGTGCTCTGCTGTTTGGGCCACCAGTGTAAAAATAAAACTTCTCCCGGAACCTATATAAGAATGGCAACTGTGGTCAATTAATTTGGGCTTGATATGCAAGGTTTTTACAAAGAAGGCTATGCAGTTCAGAATGACAAAAAATACTTGTTTAGTACTACTACATGTCTGTATAAACCAACAAGCTTCACCATGAAAAGCCTGCTCAAATAGACTTACCTGTATGCTCATAGCTTGAATGACTGATAGTCACCTGCTTGGGCAGAGCACTGTACTGTGTGACATTCTTGGGATCAGAGTGTTTACATTTTCATCTTGGAAACAGAAAGCCATTTCTGAACTATTTCACTGAGTGGTAAGGTTTTGTAACAACCTTTCCAAGCCTGCTTGTGGATTTGTCATTCAGACAACAGTATTTTACTTTAGATGGTGTTTTCCCCCTCCATGTTTTCAGTTATCTGAAACCTGGAATTATTCTGATGGGGATATTTTTCTGTTGTGCAAGCACCAACATGTGTTTTATTTTTGATGCACCTGATTCTTGCCTTGTCTTTCTTTTTCTTCAGAGAGGTCTGTTTTGAATTCCACTCTGCCCAAGACTGATACTTGCAGAGACAATATGCTCAAATTCCCACAAGAGGAACTGTCTGTCCAGCATCCTCAGTGGTCATGTCCCCCAAACACTGTAGGAGTGGGCAACAGTTTGCCCATGCATGTGTTCCAGCCAGCTGTGTTGTTATCACCACCTAGACAGAAAAGCAGCCACGACTTCTCTCCTCTTCAGAATGGTAAGATGACTGTCTCTCTGTGAACAGGATGAGATCAAAACATCAGAAGTATCAGACTGGGTCAAACCATAGGTCCATCTAGTCCAACAGCCTGCCTCTCACAGTGGCACAGAGCAGATCCTAAGGGGAAGAATGTTTATGAAGGACCTATCCAGACTGAAATGCCCTCTTCCCCAACAGCTTCCAGCATTCAGAGGTGTTGAAGTCTTAATTTGTGGACTGCACCCATATCTATCAGTACTTATTGATGGACCCATCCTGCATAAATTTATCTAGTCCCTTTCGAACCTGATTAAATTGCCTCTACAACACCTTGTGGCAATGAGTCCCACATGTTAATTCTTTGTCTATGTTGTTCCTTCTTTCAACTTGTTTAGTCTTGAGCCCACAGTGTAATTCTGCAAGTCTGTTGTTTGAACAGCCTCTGCCTTTCCCTTTGAGAAGCTGCCTGGCATCTAAATCTCCTGCTTTTGTAATGGACAGTGCATTTCTTTCTTTTCTTCTCTTTGCCTGTTCCTGATGTTTGTTTTGGTTGCCATATGTCTCCCTCTACCTCCACGTAGCACTGCCTTGCAGTTCTCCTGCTCTCTGCAATAGAAATTGCCACTGCACCCTTAAAAACACAGTCTTTGAATATGGCCTATGCACAAGGAGTCAATAAGGATTTTAGCTGTATGGAAGTCATAGTTTCATAGTAGCTAGGGTCAGGAGGAACCTGAACAGATCATCTAGCCTGACCCCCTGCCACAGGCAGGAATGAATGCTGGGTTCACAAGACCTTCTTGTCTGCAGAGTCTGATTTTTTTTGTTCGAATTCTTAGGTAGGATTAGTACCTAACACAGGTACTAAATTTCTCAAAAGCCCTTCTTTTAAAAATCACTCACTTCTACACAAACATATTTACTTGTAAATTCTCAGGAAAGTTGCTTTACTCCCAGAGAGTATGCATTGTTCACTGAGAAGGGTTTGCTACCCTGTACGTTCCATATGTAACAGAGGAATCCCTCCTTTAAGTGCCAAACCTAATTCAGACTTGATGGTGGAATAGTAGTTGGTGCTCTCATTGTATATGGACACCTATACATGAGCTCAGAGGCTGCTCCAATGCACTAGAAATCCACACTCCAGCAGCCTCCTGTGTCTCGTGTATCAGCACCCCTGTGCTTAAAAATAGCGGTGGGGGTGCTTTAACTAAAGCTCATTGCACAAGCTTTAGTTCAAGAGCCCCTGCCACCATTTTTCTGCAAGGGACACTGATACTTGAGATGCAGCAGCGCTTTAATTACAGCAGCTCTTAGAGCTGCTGTAATTAAAGCAATGCCCCCGCCCACCCCCAGAACACGTGTAAAAGTGCCCTATGTGTCTCCTGTACGCACCAGTACTGTAATGAAAGACGAGACAAAATAAAACATTGTTCCTTTTTCTTTTGGGGGCAAAGCAGACACCCAAATTGAGATCTGCCTCTACTGGCTTAGCTGTGAGTAACTTGCATTAAACTGCCTCCCGGTTGGGTTTTTTTTTGCATTTTCCTTCTGATATCAGTTTTATGTTGGGACATAGTGGAAGACTGAATCAGCAATGAAATAATTAATTGACAACTGTTAGCTGATGTTGTGAACAACTGAAAAGCTGAGCCCTTCTCCTCTGACCCTCTGCTAGTTTTTAAACCATGTAAATGTTAAATTATTTCCGCAAATCTCTCCTGGAAAACATTAACCAGTGGTGCAATGAGTGTGTGTGGCAGGATCTTGAATAACAGGACAGCTGAATAACTCTACTTGTATCCCTACCTAGAGGGTGGGTATTAGACTTCACATTATTTTTTTTTCCTGCTTCTTTTTTATCTAGCACTGATCTATCAAGTGAAATTATCTTGTTGAAGACCGCATGTTTACTGATCCTTTATTTCTCATCTGCAGCACTGAACAGCACGGTTCAAACACATTTTACCTCCCAGGTCTCTCCATCTACCCAGAACACTGAGAGGACAGCAAGTGGGGGAAAGAGCTCACCTTCCTCTGTGGGAACACACAGCACAGATGGGGAGAACTGTTTGCTCATCCAAAGGTGGCAAGTTCCTCCCACATCCAAGGACTCTGAGAGTTCTTTGCAATCGCATGGCCAGCCAGTGAGCAGTATCTTCTCCTCTTTGGATCAGGGTCAGGCCCCTGGTGTTGCTGGGGAGGGGGCAAAGCCCAATGCCACTGAAGAGTTTTCTCAGAACAAAGATCTGCTGGGACAAATCGCTGAGCTAACGCGGCAGAATGCTCTCATCAAAGCTCAGTTGAGCAAATTCAAAGACTGCTCTCAAGGGGCAGGGGATGGCCTGCACCAGCTAGGTACAGTGCAGAATATACACACTGCTCTAGATCCAGCTACCCAGGGACAGGTAAGAATGTCATGGAGAGATAGGAGGCCCAGCCTTCCCTTTCCTCTTGGCTTGCTCACAACCTATGGATGTTGGGAATCTTTGTTCCTAACTTTTGCCTCTTGTTATAATGGAGGGAGGTAGAATAACTAAGGCCTTTGAGCCATCTAGACTCAACACTTGGGAACTGAAGCTGCAGTTTCTTGTGTCGCTGTGATAAGAAGATAACCTGCTTTTTCATAGGTCAAAATCACTGGTATCTAGGTGCCACCAAGCAAAGAACATACGATAGACTAGGGGTGTGCACACTTCAGTCAGGCCTGTGACAGGCAAACATGTTTGTGCTACCTCTTGTCAGTGTGGGTCATATCAGTGTAGCCCAGTGGTCTCCAACGTTTTTAAGTAAGAGATCACCTTTGGAATTTAAAAGCAAGCCAAGAACTACCATGCGCCACCCCCTGCCCCAACCAGCAGGTAAGTAGGGTGGGGGGCAGACCGGGGCAGAGGGAGAACAAAATTATTTGGGGGTGTGCTAGGGGAAAGGGCTGTGGAGGGGCGGGGCAGATCAAGGCTCCAGCCCTAGCCCCACATCCTCCCTCGCCGCTGGGTCCTTGATCTACACCCCACCTACCCTGCCAACGATGGGGAGGGAGGAAGTGGGGCTGGAGCAGGGGGGCACAGCCTGGGAGGGCATGGGGGATGTATGCCCCTGGATCTGCGCCCTGGCCAGGCTGGCTGCCGCTGTGAATTGGGGCCAGGCTGCACTCGGGTTGGCTGGTGGTAGCACTGGGAGCAGGGCTATGGGGGGTGGTTTAGGCACCCAAAAATTCACCGTAGCCGCCGTCCCAGCACCACCGCCCAGCCTGAAAGTAGTGTGGCGCAGACCACCGCAATGAATGGCATAGCACTGCCTTCCAGCCCCAGTCTGCTTCCCCCCTGCATAGATCCCAGGGAGGAAGGGAAAGGTAGCACCGTGCTCTTCACGGTGGGGAGCTGAGCTGTGCTGCATTCAGGCCGGGCAGCAGCGCTGGGAGGGGGTGCTATGGGGGGCTACGGCAAATTTTCAGGTGCCTGCATCCCCCCATGGCCCCACTCACAGTGCCACCGCCACCCAGCCCAAGTGCAGCCCAGCCAGTGCAGATCCAGAGGCACATGGCCCCTATGTCCTTCTGGGCTGCATGCCCCCCTCCCTGCACCCCCTCGGACAAGCCGCTCATGGCTCCATCCCATGCCTCAGCTGTGCAGAGCCTGCCCTTGCTCCAGCCCCACTCCCTCCCTCACCACTGCTGCAGCTGCCCATGCTGCCCGGCATTTAGGGGGGGCACATGCACCCTCATCCATGCACAGCGGAGGCACCTGCCATTGTGGGCTGGGCTTTGAGCCTTGAGCCACGCTGCATCTGGCCTGGGAGCAGCCCCACACCACGTGTGTCCCACCATTGGGCTGTGCCTCATCTCCTGCCTGCCCAGCAGCAGGATGCACATGGCATTGGGCTGCTCCCAGGCTGCAGCCTCAAATCGACTCCAAGAGTCTCCGAGATTGACTGGTCAATCTCGGAGCCTTTTGGAGTTAATTTGACCACTGGTGTAGACCACTGGTGACCACGGTAACCACTGGTGTAGACATAGCAGTGTGGGCCTCAGCACTAGCTAGCAACCAGAACATAGACCCAGGGTCCCTGTCCAACTTGAATCCACATTGCCTGTTGTCCCTTGAGTTTACCAGATTACAGCCAGTGTGGGTATGCCTACATGTGGCTCATTCACACACCTCTGATTGCGGTGCAGACATGAGTTGGGTCTCTTGCCCCCTGCTAGCAGAATTAACTAGGGTCAAGCCAATGCCTCTGGGGAAAAGAAGAGTAGAAGACCTTGCGTTAGGAAAATTAACCATCAGAGTGGCTCCACTGCTCAGAGTAGGGTTAGGCAACACCAAAGAATCTCTGATGCCTAAAATACATGACAGCCTCTGTTCTGACTGGCACCAGTGGTCCAGCATTGTTGGGGTATGGGGGATCCAAATGTTCTTAGTTAAATGGAGCCTAAAGGCCCAACTCTTCAGCGTATGGTATGCTGTTGAGTTGTTCGCAGCTATTTAAGTTATGGGCAGATACTACACTAACTTGCACAGGAATGTGGCTTCTCCAGGGTCAACTGCACCCTCAGAATATCAGGCTGTTGGGCCATAGCAAGGGGAGGGTGAGTGGGGCAACTGCCCTGGGCGCCAAAGTGAAGGGGCACCAACAGGTGCTGCCTGGGCATGGGATGGAGCCGCGAGTGACTTATTTGGGGGGCCGTGGAGATGGGAGAAGGGTGGCTCCCATCACTGCGTACATTCCCAGGCAAGCATGAGGAGGACATGTGCTCCCCGAATCTATGCACTGGGCGAGGGCAGGCTGCCACTGCAGGCTTTGCCCCAGGCACCAAACTTCGTTGCTACAGCACTGTCAGGCTGGCTCAAATAGAGCACAGCTTGCTAGTTCAAGAGTAGTGCAATGCTTCCTGCCCTGTACATCCAGAGCAAATCCCTTTGACCACATGATTGCTTAATTATGGTTGATCACTGGCGGAGTTTTGTTTTGTTTTGTTTTTTTAATGGTTGGTTGCAGTGATGCAAGAAACAGGGCTGTATGCTGTCTGTGGGCAGTGCAGCTTAACATGATACTGTCCCTATTTAATGTGATTCCATTTGGACAGCACCCAGATGCCACAACAAAAGGCGTATAAAACCAGAGATCTACCTGAAAAATGTTGTGATGTTTACTTAAATTCCTAATTCAAATTCAGTGTGAATGATCATTTTATTAATACAATACTTGAACTATATGGCATGTCCTCCCCAAAGGTGCAACTTGCAAATCTGCTTATTGAAAGCCAACTGTTTATTAGACTTTTCCAGGAGTCTCAAAGAACTTGGAGGAGCGAATAGCAGAGCTGAATCGTCAGAGTGCAGAAGCCCGTGGAAAACTGCTGCAGCTGATAGAACAGCAAAAATTGGCTAGTGTCAGCACAGTCTCTCCATCAATCTCTCCTATTCCACCACCATCCATAAATTGGACTGGTATGTATCCAACACAAGAAAAGCTAAGATGATGCATTTTAACCCTTATGTGAGAGTCCCCTATCTTTTGTTAACTCAGTCAGTAGTTCCCAAACTGTATACAACACAGCATTTAATGACCAACTGAGAGCTCTCAGGGCAGGTGGGTACAGACTATCTCATTCACTGCTGCTAACCTTTGTTAGACCGCTAAAAACACCTCAACTAGAATTTGCTAAAGTTACTTTTCTGCATAAGGCAGAAGGTAGAGCTGGGTGGCTAGAGACTAACTAGTTCAGCAAGGTTTGAGCTTTCATGGGCAACAGTCTATTTGATATGTCACTGTTACAGTCAGCCTGATTTATGGGTAGAGGACACAACGGGCTTCTCTCACAGGTAGCAAGGGAATGCCTCATCCCAGTGAAGCTCCTGACAGCTATATTCTACCTAACCAGGCCTGGCTACAGAGCTGTTCCAAGGGAGATTCCAGCACTTAATTTGTAATGTCTTAACAATCCCACTTCACAAATTTGCATTCTGATTCTTAGTTACGATCCAGTGAGGAGGTCTTTTGTGGGGTGATCTTGCCTGTGCTCTGGTTCCCCTGAAGAGGTGCTGCAAGGGCTACTAATTAGATACTCGGAGATAACTAAAAGTCTATAGCACTCTTTCTAAGACAGTAAAGGGATTATTCTTTATGCGGCTTAGGGTCTGTGGACTAGCTACCGTGGCTTTTTAACAAGAAGAAAGCAGGACAATTTAACCCTTTCTTGGAGTGGCTGAGTGTTAATGACAAGCAAAATAAAGAGAGGGAAAATGGTTATATGTACAAAGCATAGAAGGAGCACGAGGGTTAAAGAGTGTGTGTGTGTGTGTGTGTGTGTGTGTGTGTGTGTGTGTGTGTGTGTGTGTGTTTAGGGAGCATACCCACAAATGAATGGAGTGGGGCCTTGATGCAGGAACAGGGGCTCTAGCTACTATTGCATTGTAAATCTAATAACTCAATATTCCAGATGAAGGAAATGGAAAAACTAACAACATAATACTGGAGGGGGAGAAACTTAAAATCAAGCCACATGCAGGAAAAAAATCAAACAAATGATGCTGCTAATGTTCCTGTTCCTTCGCTAGAATTAAGTAATACTAATTTACTGTCTAGGAAATGCAAAGAGGACAATTGAGGTGTCTGTTCCAGTGGCAGAAGCTTTCAACAGCTCCAAAGAAGGCACTCCTTCCCCTGCCAGTGGGCCCAGTGCACAGAGGTGAAAACCAGTTTTTTATTATTTATCTGTGGTCAGGGTGAATGAAATACATGTACAAAACTGGTCACTTATACAAATTGTTCAAATGCACTTTCACTGTGTTCTCCCAGATTTGATTGACATGCCATGGCTTCAGCACAGTCTAACTGGGAGAGCTGGAAAGAGGGACTGTAACAGGATAACAAATGTCCTCTGATGACCTCAACCTCTCCTGGGAAACTCTGACCTTGCTGACTTCTTATGATTGAAATTAGATTGTTGACATTTTCCTGGATATGGGGTAGAGGGAACTGCATTATTGAAGGGATGCAGAGAAACCCAGAGTGCCAAAGCTTTGGGGAAGAATACAAATCCATCTGGTTCCAGGACAAACAGGAAGAATCCCTCCCTAAGGAAAAATACTTTACATACATATTTGGGGAGAGGGAGACATGGGGAGCCAAGAGGAGCTTTTTCATCAAGTCAGGCATTCACCTCTTTGGGGAGGGGGGCAGGGGGATTTGATGGTGGTTACCCTGCTTCTGTGAGCCAGAAGGGGGCAGGGGTGGACCAAAGGACCACTTTGTTTTCTGCTCCACCTAAGCTCTAAAACCAAGTGCTTGGGAGTGGCAGCAGCATTTCTATTCTGGCAGCACTGAGGAGGTCAATTGACTTTATTATAATCTACCTGATGCCTACTAATCTCTTTTCACTCCCTCTTTTCACTGATTCCCTCAATCTCTTTTCACTGACCCTCTCTTCTTTTTAATGGTCTTGATGTTCCACTGTTCAAACTACCCTTTCATAGATTCATAGATTGTAGAGTTGGAAGGTACCACAATGGATCATCGTGTCTGACCCCCTGCCCCGGCAGGAAAGAGGACCGAGGTCAGATGACCCCAGCCAGGTGACTGTCTAGCCTCCTCTTGAAGACCTCCAAGCTAGGTGATAGCACCACCGCTCTTGGAAGTCTATTCCAGATCCTGGCCACCCTTACTGTGAAAAATTTCTTCCTAATATCTAACCTAAATCCACTCTCAACTAGTTTGCACCCGTTATTCCTAGTCACTCCCTGGGGCGCCTTGGTAAACAGCACTTCCCCTATTCCACGTTGACCTCCCCTAATAAATTTGTAGGCGACCACAAGATCTCCCCTCAGCCGTCTCTTGTGAAGGCTGAAGAGATTCAGCTCTCTCAACCTCCCCCCATAGGGTCTATCACGAAGGCCACTATTC